GGATCATGACCTGAGCCGAAGGCAGTCGCTTAACCAACTGAGCCACCCAGGCATCCGCAAACTGATTTTCTAACAACTGAAGTATTCTCTGAAATTATTTTCACCCCAACTTTTCACTTAGCTATCACCGAAGTAAGAAAATGTGGGTATTCAGATATAGAGGCTGGACTTTTTCTTTAGGAAAAGAAAAACGTAAACTTATGTGTTGGGTTTACAAGAAAATAGTTTGCCAGCAAGTTGCAGAAGATAGAAGAAAATGAGATAAAAAAGTAACAATTTCTTGAACCACAGGACAACATCTGTTCTTATTCTCTAGAGGCTACAAAACAAGAGAAAATCCTAAAGGCACTCTGCAAAAATATTTATATTGTTGGTAACTGAAGTCCATTCAAAGATCTGAAAAGAAGTTTCCTCCTAAAAAAACAAAAACTCTAAACTTTTTTAATTTGGAGACAGAAGTTAAATCTCAAATATAGAAATTTACCTTTTGTAGACAGATAATTGCCTTCAAACTGGAGATCTATCTAAAACTAGTGAAATTCATTACACAGGAATTGATAAAATCTTGTTAAATGAGCCTGACAAGTAATTATATTTGGTTGTATGACAAGAGGACAATACTACAGTCTGTGATATATGCCCTACCAACATTATAGTAACTTTATTCATAATGGCCAAAACTTGAGAGGCAACCAAGATGTCCCTCAGTAGTGAATGAATGGCAGAATAAACTATGTTATGTCCAGACAATGGAATATTATTTAGTACCAAAAAGAAATGAGCTATCAAGTCATGAAAAGACATTTAAGGAATCTTAAAACCATATTACTTAGAGGAAGATGCCAACATGAAAAAGCTACATATTCTAGGGTAACATTCTGGAAAAGGCAAAACTATGGAGACAGTAAAAAGACAGTGGTTGCCAAGGGTTAGCAGCGAGGAAGGAAGGCAGAACACAGAGGATTTTTAGGAAGTGAAACTGTAGCATCATATTATGATACTATAATGGTGGATACTTGTCATTATACATTTTTTAAAACCCCACAGAATGTACAAAACCATTTACAAAAACAATGTAAACTATGGACTTTTGGTGGCAATAATGGTGTCAATATAGGTTTACACACTGTAACAAATGTAGCACTCTGGTGCTACATGCTGATAGTAGGGAGGCTGTCCATGTGTAGTGGGTAGGGAGTAAACAGGAACTCTGTACTTTCCACTCACTTTTGCTGTGAACCTAAAACTGCTCTAAAAAATGAAGTCTGTTTTTAAAAAAGATATAATTGACACTTTAGTTGGTTTTTAATATCTGGTTTGAAGTTCTCTGCTTGGGGAGAGGATCAATATATACCTATCTTTGTAAAGAAATTATTATAATTAAATTGAATATGCAGTGTTTTCATTCTTCATTTTAAAGATAAATTTAAAAAAAGGGAAGTGATCTAAGTAGAGTTGGAACATTTCTAAAACTGGTTCAGAGCTTCTTTTTACACAAATTCTTACATTTTGGGAATGAGATGGTAGATGCACACTGGTTAAATGAACGTTGTTTAAAAACAGAATAGAATTTGGGGCACCTGGGTGGTTCAGTTGGTTGAGTGTCCAACTCCTGGTTTTGGCTCAGGTCCTGATCTTATGGGTCAGGGGATCCAGCCCTGTGCTGGGTTCTGCGTTCAGTGGGAGTCTGCTTGGATATTCTCTCCCTCTGCCCCTTCCCCCACTCACATGCTCTCTCTCTTTCAAATAAATAAATCTTTAAAAAACAAAAAACAGAATAGAATTTGATAACTCGAAAACATTCTTAGAAATATTTGGTCAAAGCCCCTCATCTTATAAATAAGGAAAATGAGACTCAGAGAAGCTACATAATTCTTCCCAGGACCCCAAGACTATTTAAGACAGAAGGACTAGAACTTTGGTATTCTAAAGTTTCATGGCTCCTTTTTCATTATAATATCATTCAGGAAAACAAAATTGTGTTAGATTTCTTAAAGTTCAGAGAAGTAATTTTTTTTTTCCTTCTTCCATTTTAAGAGGATATGAATCCAATTAGTGTATTTTTTGGCTGATAAGCACTCACTCAAGCTCTGCCCACTTATTTATTCTGCCTGCTTGATTTTTCCCAGAGGTCATTTAAAAAGAAAATCATGTTTTCGTAATTCTAAGAGCCAAAGAAAATGTTTTACCATGAAAGTGAATATAAAACCCATGTGTGGGTTATTACTAAAGCAAGGGCTATGCTCCCCATCCCACTATTGTTAGTCAGAATTTAGAATCCTGCTCTACCTCTAACAGAGGTAAAAATCCACCCTTGGTGGGAGCAGCTGTGACTCTGTGAAAGCTGCTACAAATAACATGCTGGGAAATTCAGCAGGCACTGTTATTATATCCTGTTTATACTGTCATTTTTCCTATCAGTAGGATATTATTTATACAGACCCCACCCATGAACTTCTTGTTTATCTTATTATAGAAATCCTCCAAATCTATAAAAAGAAGTCTCTGTATTTGTTTCTGGAACAAGCACATGTGTTATAATTTTGCACCTCACTACACTTTATTTAGCATTTTCTTCTGTTATGCCTATTCTTTTTATCTCAAGGTTGATTTATTTCATTATTTCACATATTAGAGTTGAACTTAACTTTTTAAAAGACTCCATTATAGGACAGAGATTCTGGAGTGCCACATCTTAAACTTTATATCTGGGACAGATTTCATCACGTAGATATTCTTCTAAGATACACTTGACTAATTTGTTTAAAGACAAAAACATGCCTATGTACTGAGATCAGGTACCCATAGTGAGTGAGTCCTAAATGCCTAGAAGGCTTCCTTACATAGGCTTCCTATACCAAGTATGCCAATTATGAGGGCCAGGCTTTATACTGGTTCGCACCAACTCACTATTCTGTAGCTGGATCTCTTTTCTAGAATGAAAAGCCCTGTCCCTGAGTCTAGCTTGATGGCTGGATGGGCCGGGTGAAAATGTAACATGATAATACATGAGAAATACATGAATTCACTAAGTTGATCAATGAGACAATGAAGCAATGTGGCTATAAATCATCTCACTCCCCTGCCTTATGTAAATAATTGAATTAAAGCAGATAAGAGTAAAATGGGATTCCTTAAGGGCAGAAACTCATGCAGCATTTGTTGAGCAAATAAATATTTCTGGAGAGGGAACGTCACTGGACAAAGTCATATTGGATAAATTTTCATATGTATAGCTTGTGTTAGCCTCACTAAAATTCCCTTTACCCTACAAGACAGCGCTACAAGGCAGTTAGGTAAATATGAAATCTTCAGAGAGCATGTACAATGCTAGACTCTTTCAGGATGTATAAGAAAGATTGCTATATTTAAAGAACACTACTCTAAAATGCATAACTGAAATGAGGTATTTTATTATAATTTGCATCAAAGTCAGATGGGTTTCAAAAGCTACTATTTTAAAAGTCCAAGATGATTCAAGATTCAGAGTATTCAAGATCCTCAGAAATATTTCCACCTGGAAAAAAAAAATCAACTCTATAATACTGTTCTATAACACTACAATTTTGTTCTTTTTTGTAGGCTGACAAAATAGAAGATTGCTTCTAATCTTGGAGGCAAAGTAAAAGCCCTAAAAGACAACACTTCATCTTTTCATAGTGCACATCACTGGGTTTTGGTAAAACCCACTTAACTTGCCCCTATAGTGCCCTTAGCATATTCCTTAATCCTTGAAGATAAAGGTAAAAATTTATTTTAAATATTTTTTTGAAAATTACAAAAATTAAATTCACACATCATCCCTCTGTTTAAGATTTCTGTATGGAAGGATATGCCTTTTATTAAAATCTTTTACCATGAACAGAGGCATCATTTATAAAAATATATTACTAGTGTTATATATTATACACACATACATGTATTAAGATTGGCTGACCTTAGATTCTTGGGATGAAATTTAAGACTTCTGAAGTCTCAAGTTTCATTTTTAACCATATTGATGGTCAATAACAACCTTTTAGGTAAATTAGCTTTAATACATATCGATGTCTAGAGAATAGAAATGATATCTTAAAATTGGAAGGTACTATATGATCAGATCCAACTATTTCATTGTAGAGGTAAGAAAGTGAGGTCCAGAAGCTAAAAAGCCCAAAGTCACATTAGCTGCTAATGGCATGTTAAAAAAGGGTGGGAGGAGGAAAAATATAATTTTCATATCTATTAATGTGCAACATACAACAATGTATCAACTACAAAATGTAGTTACAAGAGTTTCTGGTTCCTCTCATGACTAGGGTATAGTTGATTTTATTAAGGTCTTATAAACCATTGATACCCAAGAAAGGAAGACTACATACCAACAAAGAAGACATGCTACCCCAAAATTTAGTAACTCTATAAAAAATGCAATCTGAATAGAGAATGATACATATACACCACATACTCAAGATGGGGCTGTGGTGGGGTGGGTAATGGGATGGGATATAAAGAACAAAGAGAAGACAATGATAACTCTTATCTTCTCAGTAATGGTTTGAGGAAAGCTTTCACATATAGAAAGGTGGTTAAAAAAAAAAACAAAACTTCCTTTACTCTCATGAATCATTTTTTAATCGGTAAAATCAGGAACCAGGAGGACTGTAAAGCTTTTAAAAATATGAAATGTAAATAGCAATTGGATGTGCATGTGTCATGAGCTCTGTCACAATGACAAGAAAACCAGAGAACCCTTTTTTAGCCATAAAATGGGAAATTTTGTGCTTATCACAAATGCTATAAAATTTACTAGCACAAGTAAAAAAAAAAAAAAAATCAGAAGTTCCATGATATCAGAGACAATGGGTTTTAAATCACAGGCATACATTATTATGCCTAAGTTGACAGGTCTGCACTGCAATGCAGAAATGCAAGCAATATTCCAACATCTGCACCAGAAGGCAGAGACTAGACATGATTCCAGAATAAAGGGCTCTTCAGCTCTTACCTGTTACCTGTGCAACAACTGCTTGGGAAATCCTCCGATTGGCAAGAAAGGCTTTGATTTCCTCTTTTATCACACTGCTGTCCCTCCTAACAAAAACAGAAGACAAGACCAACAATGTATGTTGAAGGTAGAAATCCTCATCTTTGCTAAGAAAGGTGAAGCAGAGAGGTGGGGAGAACATAGAAAGAAAGGACACAAAAATAAAGGTAAACAGACCAAGCTTGTGTGAAAATACGAAATTAAAACAAACCAAGAAACACCAAATATTCAAGTCCTAAAACATCACACCATCAGACAGACGCTTTAGTGAATACCACAGGAGATATAAGTCTCATACCAGAGGATGGTTAATCGCATGCTGTGTATAATTCATAATAGGAACAAGGCTGCCATATGGTATCTACTAAGTTTCATTACTGAGGAATGAATATACCTTACACAGACAGAAACCCTAGAAAAATAAATAGCAACAATAACAACAAAAATCAGTTGTGAGTAGATTGTGGGCTTGCAGGTTAACTCTATAACTACATAAATATTATGTTCAGTAATTTTAAAACCTTTGTTAAAGGAACAGAAATCATCATCTTTCTTACAACTGCTAAAATATCAACCATTTTAAGAAATTTAATTTGCCTTCTTTTTCCTATTAAACCAAAAAAAATTTAAGCGAGATGAGGTGAATATATAATTTTAATATAAAAAAGGCAACTTATTCATTTCCTATTATATGTAATATACAGAATATTTAAAACTATGTTATATTTTGTCCTTGAGACTACATTATTATAGACCTAATTTTTCCTCCACTAGACAACAGCAAATTCTCAAAAGACTAGACATTCACTAGAATAACAATGAAAGGCAAGACTTCTATTTCTCCATCAGGACAAATACTTAAGTAAAACTTAAACTTAAACCCTTAAAACCAACCAATTTCTCTTTGAATGCTTTATGTTCAAAAGGATTACGTAAGTAAAGCACTGATTTTTCATCAAGCTCAAAAGTAACACAGAAGAGCAGTTAATTTATAATTTCATATAGGGTCAGCAAACTATGGCTAAATCTGGTCTCCCATCTGTTTTTACACAACCTATGAGCTAAGAATGGTTTTCACAGATGAACACTTGCAATCATTACTTGGTGACAGAGAATACTAACTTTGAACATGAATTAAGCAAAGTATTATATCCTCCCCACCAAAAATTCTATTCTTCTCATTAGACCTCTATTTTAAAAACTATATTCAATTACTATTATTCTATATTGAATTTTGTCAGTAAAAATTTGTGATCTTTTTGTTTTATCTTAGCTGTAAGTATGTGTATTATAACCTCAATTTTGCCTCTTGGCCACAAAGTGTAAAATGCTTACCATCTAGTCTTTTCCAGAAAAAGTTTGCTGACCCTTGATCTGAGACAAAGGGATCATGAAATCTTCGCAAATCATGTTGTAAATGAACCACAAACTTCTTACAGGAGCTCAAGTTTCTTTAAAGATTATTTGAAGCAACAAAAGAAAAGATCCTATCCAAAAAGAATCAGCTGTGATTTGAATTAGAGCAGATATTTTAGCCCCTTGGTGAGGAGTGGCAATACATTCTGTTGGTGGATTCCATGTTCCCTTTCAGGAATTCTGGAAAGGGGCAGAGAAGCGATAGTAGGGACAACCTTCAATCTGAAGCTCTACAGTATATTCCTGATCTACTGGTTGGAAATCCTAATCAAAAAGATTCCTAGAGAAAGAAAATAGTCAGCTGCCTAATCCAATATTTAAAATTTCTCATACTCATCTAGATTCTGATCTAGATACCAGCTAGATTCTTTCCAAAACTTTCACTTGTTTAAATTTGAAGTATTTCTTTGAAAAATATGCATTCTCACTTTATTAAAAAATTGTGTAACTGAAAGAAAAAGGCACAAATAAATACACTTTAAAGTCAAATAAAACAAACTGCTCAGTAAAATACAGATAGCATAGGCCAAATGCTCTTAAATATCCACCAATAATTAGCTGAGCAAAAGATAACTTCAGCAGTATGAATTTCATTTGCTTTATGTGAATAAAGCAACCAAATCATTCAGTTTCTGATACAACTTCAAAATTAATCTGAAAAAATTTAAATAAAGCACTGCATTGCAATATATAGAATATCCTTCTAAGAAAGTGAAAACCAAGTTTAAGAGAATATTTATTAAGGTTAAATAAAAAATGTGCTTTTGGGGAAAATGATTAAATGGTATTTTCTTGACTACTGATTTAAATTGGAATTTAAATCAATTTATCTTAAATCAAATTCACCTAGAGTAGACACTAAATCATAAAGAGGACATAACACTCAATTATTCCAATAGGAAATATCCAGTTTGTGAATTATTCACAGCTTTGCAGTATGATATTATCAAGGACTGCATTGAGACAGAAGGAACTTCAGAAAGTCTGCAAAATAGCAGCAATTCACTTACCCTCTCATAGACTATATTTTTAGATACTTGGCAAGTTTGTAAGTATCCACGATGAGTAAAAAAAAATAATAACAAAACCTCTTTTGTCAGCTGCTTTACCAGAGAGAAGCTTTTTCAAATCGAAGAAAAACATAAGACTTAAAAAATAAGGTTATGCTTGGGCAAGTCATTTAATATAGTTGGACCCTGGTTTCATCATCTAGTAAAATGAGAACAATAAAACCCTCATCATAAGACTCTTAAAAATTTTTCTCCACACACTGAAATTAAATTTAAATGAAATATATATGAAATGTGTGCATATGTGTGTGTATATAATAAATAAAATAAAAAATTCTTCAATGTAAAAATTTTTGAAACTGTAAAAGCATTCAATAAACAATGACTATTATTTTATAAAACCCCAGAAAGAATTCCAGGTAAAGAAGAAACAAATGATATGCTGTAACTACCTATGACTGAAGTAAACATCTGCATGAGGTACTTTAAGGCACCATGGAAAGATTTCTATGAAGTCAATTTAGACACAAGCAATGATGTGTCATCTAGTTATTTTCACTAGGTACACGTATCCCCTGCTTTCTGAAAGTTTGCATTATGCCACTCTGCTTTTATAAAAGACCAACATTAGTATGGTAACAGCATTTTTTTGTAAAAGTAAAAATCCCCTTCAGATTTCTTTCAGTTAGTGAAAACAGGTACTAATGGAGGCTTTCCTAAAAGTGAAGTGGTGTAACTCAAGCTTTCAGAAAATACAGAACCTGTATTTTCAAAATAGTAATGGTATTCAACTTTCACTTGTGTCCAGTTCTCTTGTGTATTTCAAAGACCTCCATTCTACAGGGTTAACTTGTTCTTTAAACTTTCAAATATCCCCCCTCATTCAGTCTCCTTTAACAAGTTGCCTCTCCTACTGTCCACATCGTAACTCTGTGAAATGACCAGTTTCTTGGTGTGAAAACTCCTTCATTTACTCCAAATCTATTTTCATACTCTCCTACTACTTACTTTCTCCCTTTATTTGAAATTTTTCATCCTCTTTAAAAAGAATGAATCCCTTTTCTTCACTTCTCTTTTTTCTGAGTACTAATTTTTTCAAGTTTTTATTTTAATCACCCAGCACTCATCACAATTCACTTCTTATAAAATCTCACATTCCTCATGATTTGTATTCCTCAAGTCTTATGAAATTAAAGTGAAACACAAGTTGATCTTTCTTTGATTCCATAGCTTACTTCCAAGATAAGCTACCAGTCTATTTGCATCAAACCACTTAAAATCCATGTCATCTCCTCCTACCACCTTTTCCAAATCACAGCCATGTTGAATTCTTCTCTCTGGGTGCTTTCCACATGAAGATAAAATTCTTCCTTTCCATCCTACATTACCATTATTTTTATAACTTGCTAAACTTTCCATTGTTATCTACAGACCTTTCTTAATATCCAAATGAATTAATCAGTAATGCCTCTTTGTAGAATCACCCTTTCTTTAAGACACAATTTAACTGTCATCTCTTCAGAGAAGTTCTCCCTGATCCTCACAGCTAAAAAAGATCTCCTTCTTCTAATAACTAACTATCATTTCAATTATACTACTCACATGCTAATATATTACATGCTATTCTATATTATAGTTGTTCCGATCTGGTCTTATCGCTCCTACTAGACTGAAATCTTTTAGCACAAAGATTGTGTCTTATTCATCGTGGGGTTTGCATATAATAGAGCTTAATTTGTTCAATGAATGAACAAATTTGTAGCTGAAGATAAAAGGTTGTAAAATGGCAAACCTGATCTAGATAATTTAGAAAACAGCTCTAAATTCTTAATCTCAAATATGTTTAAGCTTCCCAAATCAGAATGGAAAAAGTTATTTATGCTAGCTCAAAATGGCAATCCTTCCATTTCTGGAACAAAGACTATTAAAGAGTACATGTTTAAAAGTTGTATGCTTTAAGATCTTCCATATTCTCTCAGTTGATATATACTATACATTCTTTAGGACTCCTTAAAGGCAGCCATCTATCTCAAAGACTTCCAGAGATGGAGCAATACCTACAAAGACAGACTATATCACAGATGGGAAAATACAATTACATACAAATTCTTTAACTTTTGAATAAGAACCTGCTCCCTTTCATTTCTACTCAGGGAGATAAAGCATAATTTAAAATTTTTAAAAGAAAAGCTACTCTATATGTATACACAACATTGTAACTGAATTTAGGAAATACGTATCCCTAAATCACTGATTGTTAGGGATCTAGTTAAGCATTCGGAATAAAGTCCTGGATCTTACATAAAATACAAACAGTCATAAAATTTAGTACATGGGTAGTTAAGAATAACAACTTAATACATGGCATTGTTTATGAATTCCTGATAAGCCTCATTTCAACTGTTATTTTATAATATACATGAAAGAAAAGATCTACACTATAATATTAATAAATGTATATATTACCGATATATAAATATGTATGTTAATAGATGCATTTTAAAAATACTAATATGTGAAATGGGTTTTCATTCTAGCTCTTGGCTTTAAAGTCCTTCCTAAAATGTTATATATTCAATAATTTGTTGAGAACTCACTATCTGGTTTCTTTTTTTTTCACCCCAATCAATTAAAAAATGGGAAAAGTAGCAGTTTCTCTCTTTCTGATTCTTTCTTAAGTTGATCAGGTGTACAGTTATAAGTTAATTTCTTTTTTTTTTTTTTAAGATTTTATTTATTCATTTGACAGAGATAGATACAGCGAGAGAGGGAAGAGGAGCAGGGGGAGTGGGAGAGGGAGAAGCAGGCTTCCCGCAGAGCGAGGAGCCGGATGCGGGGCTTGATCCCAGGACCCTGGGATCATGACCTGAGCCGAAGGCAGACACTTAACGACTGAGCCACCCAGGCGCCCCTATAAGTTAATTTCTATAAAAAATTTCCTTTGTGTACCTTGAAATTAGTAGGTGTTAAGTCTATGAACTCAATGGGTTATGTGATTTGAAAAATATTAACTTATGATTGAGTGCTATGGAGCATGCAAGATATGACTTATATATGATTATCTAGAAAAGGAGGCAGGAAGGCATTCAGGTACCCATTCTCCCCACTTACAGCCCACCAAATCTAACCCACTACAATATCATAGTGTTGAGTGATTAGAGAGGGCAGTACAGTCCTATGTGGCACGGGATACTCAGAAAAATTCACTGCTCAAAAATTTCTCTAACATTCTACCAAATAAAGATTCATCTGGTTAGTAACTGATTTGAAGTGGCAAATACCATGTGACGGTAGAGGGAGGGAGGAACAACAGCCCATTAAGGCATTCACAACTTTCACTTGTGTTACATCAACCACTGTTCTTAAAATCTTATTGAAATCTACAGACATGAAAAACTTATTTACAGAGGCAACAGATACCAGAGACATGGTAATAAAGACATAGGTTAGAATTCAGGCTCTGCCACTTAATATTTAAAATTTCTTGGGTCAGTTATTTAAATTTTATGAATCTCAATTTCTCTGCTGTACCTCATACACAGCATGGTTATAATGATTAAAAGTGAGAACAGTCATGCAATAAACTTCTCCCTCTGACCTAAGGATTGTTATTATGTGCAAACTTGAGAAAAATAAGAGGTGGGCACAAAGGAGGAATGCAGGTGTGGGTGAGGACACAATGGCAGAGAACCACAGAGAGCCAGAAGGTTCAATGAGACCCTTAGATGATTAGAGAACCGAAGTAGCAGTTCATAGAAAGAAGCAGAGAATAGGGTAAAGATAAAGTATCCTAACTATGCAACAAGTGGCAGTAAATTAAATGCTGGTAACAATGCAAAAACATGTATATTTTTAATGATAAAACTTGAATGTGTGTTAATTGTGGGATTTAACTACAAATCCTAATCATTGCTAAATAGGTTTTCTGTTTATTTTGAGAACATAGTTGTATTACAACATTATGCCAACGTAAGAGCTAGTAGTTACGTTTTTAGACCCTTGTAGTCAAATTTTAGACCTTGGCCAATCTTCAGAGCCTTTTGTTAACAAGAAAGTTTCCCCAAATTTTGTGGTAGTCTAATACACATTTGGGAATTAATTGTTATGTTAAAAGCTTATTAAAACTGATTAATGACAGCAACAGTATAAATTTTATTGTTGATATCTCTCTACTCAGGATAATTAAAAGCTAACCTTGTCATATTTCAATGACTTAAGTAACTTCTACTTGCTGCAATGGTTCTCCCTCTCAATCATGACAATGATACACATGTTAAATTCAAAAGGAACATCTGAACTGTGGCCAGCTGCTTTAACAAGTGAAAATGAATTCAAAACCAAACTGATCTCTTATATTTTTAAGTTTGTTTTTTTTTTTAAGTTTATTTATTTATTTGACAGACACACAGCAAGAGAGAAAACACAAGCAGGGGGAGTGGAAGTAACAGGGTTCTATGGCTGCTCTATGAAACTATTCATTACAGGAATTACACTGGAATCTAGATGCAATAGTCCATTTAGTTCACAATTCCATATGAGGCAGTGCTACCCTAAAAATAAAGTCAGGACAGTTTATTTAAAAGATTTTACCACTGTGGTACTATAGAATAGATCTTCCATATACAATATTAAGTCACCATTATACTATCTTTAGTCTTAAAATCCTTAGGAAGAACTATAACTCATAATTATAGGTTCTAACTTTATTCTGACAAATTTGTGCTACAGCTTCTTTATCTACTGTAACTAATCTATCTGCAGGCTTTCCTCCTACTACAGTAGTGATAATCTATTGAAAATAATGCTTTTATGTCTATTCCTACAGACCTGTAAAAAATCCTTAATGCCAATCAAATTAAACATAAACTACTTGTGTGGAACTCAGATCTTCCCAAACCTGTACTGCATCCTAATATAATATTCTTATTACCACCGTCTAGCCCACGCAACCTTTATAAAACTAAACATGCCTTGCCTTCTCTACCTTTTACTATTCCCTTAACTTTAAATAAAGTTCCTATATTTCAAAACAAAAGCTATCCTTTTAGATTTAGCTCAAATTCATCCATTCACTTAACACATTAAACCCTTAGCATGTGCCAAGGACAATTCTAGATCCTGGAAACAACATTCAAAAATCACATGATTACTGGCCTCAGAGTGTTCCAGGTCCAGTGTGAAGCCCTTCCTAATTACCTCTTTTGAAAGTGGACTTCTTTTCTCAGTGTTTAAAACAACAAAGGCTTACACTTACCTTGTAATAGATAATATATGTGTGTGTGTGTGTGTGTGTGTGGCATCTATTAAATTAGAACTTTTAGCTTCTTAGGGGTAGAAACCATGTCTATTTTTCTTCCTAAGAACACAGCTTTTTATATAATAGGTGCTCAAAATTATTTTGTTGTGGTATGTTAGAGTGAAAAACTAAGTGTACAAATTCTGTATCATGATAAAATCATCTTATCAGAAAACTCTAAGGATTAGAATGTGTTAACAATTCAGAAAATTCAGATGTTAGCAATTAGTACTATAAAGAGAAGGCTAACTTCTGCTTTGATAAACAGAATGGAAAAGGCTGTTATCAAGCAGCAAAGAGGGCTAAGGTAGAGAAGACAAAATTTGAATTAAAATCATAAAATTTGAAAATATTTTCTTTCATCTCCAAGGGGAGGAGGGGGAAATCATAGTTCCTATAGGTAAGTAGCTGAAATACAGTATATTACTCAAAACCAATCTAAGAACATAGACATTTTGGGGACTCTGAGTAAGCAAAAGAACTAACCTCATTAATTCCTCCACTTTATCATCTACATCTAGGTCCTCTTCTGAGGCTTCAAAACTGTAAGACCTCTGACCCATGCTGTTTGCATGGTAGCGAGTGGGTGACATCTTTCCATTGGACGTGGATAATCGCTCATTATTCTCCCTCCCATTTTGATTGGTAGTGCAAGGCTGTGGGGAGGTATCATAACTGTTGCTAGGAGATGGGGACATTCCAGAATGCTGGGTCTGTGTGGAAGCTGTAGCTGTAGAGGAAGATGCTGGAACATTGTTGGTACTATTTCCATAAGAACTTCCTCCATAGCTGGACCTTCTTCCAAACTTGTCACTATGCTCTTGATCAAGACGGTCCAAAGTTTCCAAGGCGTGGAGAATTTCATGTTTAGTCATTCCAGTACGCCGAAGGCGCTGAAGGAGATCTATCTGCTCTATGGTAAATCTGGGTTCATCTGTATAGTGAGACATGGTTTCCAGCAAACTAAAAAAAAAAAAAAATCCTTTTATTTACAACATGTACCAAAGAACATATCATTATAGAGAATGCTCAGGAGATGATGCAAAATATTTCTACATCAATTTCTTTACTGAAAATGATTAACACATTATTATTACAACAGTTATTATCACTCCATGCTAAAATGTTGTCATGGCAAATGGATTGGTACAGTTACTGAGTTTATTAGCAGATGGATATTAGGTGTAACACAAAACCCAATTTCATATGGCATACAATTTACACTTTCCTCAATTTGGTAAATATCTGAACCAAAATTTCAGTTATGGCAATAATACCAAACAACAGATTACATACATACACTTTTTGTCCTAGCCCATTTGTGATTATTCACAGGTGTTTTTTCCATCTCAAATTCATTACTCTACATTAGAGTACTATTAATGAAAAGTTGTTGTGAAAACAGTTTGTATTATCTTGTTTTAATAAATATCAGTAAAACTGACCTAGGAAGTCTGTATCTTCATTTAGTGTAAACAAATGACTTGGTAAGGTAAGCTCAGGCAAATACTAATAACCAGCAAAAATTTAAATGGAAAAGTAAGAAGGTACATAAAAAAACTTATTAAGCACCATTTCACCCACCACTTAGCAATTTTGTTTAGTATCTCATCTCTGTAATGCATTCTCTCTTAATAGTTATCCCGAGAAATGGATCTTTCATGGTTGCAGCCAAACTATTCATTTTTCTTGGGAAATTGCTTCCACATTATGTTTCCTTTAACTAACACAAGAAACTGTAGCAAGCCAGAAAATGTCAGTCATAACAATATTAAGTGAATTATCAAATTTAAAAATTCTCACTACTTGAATTCCTTTCTTATAAAACCTGACTTTCCTAATTTAAGATTTTTTTAAAGATTTTTTTTATAGTTCTAGTACCAAATAGGATGCATGGCATACAGTAAGCTCTTAATAAATGTTTGATAACGGAAATAAATGTCAAGGAATTTTCTCATCCTTTAAGGTAAACATCTGTTCTGGGCCAGTTCCCCACAGCTGTTCAAAGTCTGTTTCTTCATCCCTCTATACTAAAAATTTACTGAACATTCACTTCTAGGCAGGCATTAGGCAAGAGTTTCAGAGAATGTAATTTCATCTGATCCTCACAACAAAGTCCTGTGGCAGACTTTTAAAATCTTATATTGACTCATCATTGAGGAAACTAAGTTTCAGAGTGGTTCTGTACCTTGCAAAAAGTCTGATTAAGAGTAGAAAAAAGATTTAAACCTAGATCTTACTGACTCCAAAATCATATATTATTCTGCTTTCCAACATATAGCGGGACTTACTGGAATCCTATGATTTGGGATATAGGCTGTTGAACTCTTAAGTCTCCAGTTAAACCCACTTGGACAGGGGGCGCCTAGGTGGCTCAGTCAGTTGAGCAGCTGCCTTCGGCTCAGGTCATGATGCCAGGGTCCTGGGATGGAGCCTCACATCAGGCTCCTTGCTCAGCGAGGAGCCTGCTTCTCCCCTGCCTGCCGGTCCCCCTCTTGTGCTTGCTCTCTGTCTCTCTCTCTTGTTCTCTCTGTGTCAAATAAATAAATAAATAATCTTAAAAAAAAAAAACCACTTAGATAAAACCACTCTACTGATGGACTAGAGGTCCTAGTAATAGGTTTTTAAATTTAAACCTTTGCTCCACCTGGAATTTATATTTACTTAATGAGTGTGAAAGGATTTGAGCTTTATTTTTTCCCAAATGCATAGGTGGCTGTCCAATATGCTTTACTGAGTAATATGTCTCTTCTCCTCTAATCTGAAATACAACCTTTTTCATATACAAAATTTCCACACAAATCTCTATCTACCTTTGGATTCTCTACTCTGTTCCACTGATTTTGTCTTTCAAATCCTTCTAAAAATAAGCAGGCAGAAATCTAGAATTTTTATGTGAAATCACTCTACTTTTAGAGACAGGCTAATTAAAAATAAAACAAACACATTTTGTGGACCACAAATAACATGCTGCAAGCCATTTGTGTCACAGGTTGCAGTGTCTGCCTTAGACTTGTATGTTATCTTCCGCTGTCTTCCAATACTCACTGTGACAAGCTATCCATGATACAAGTCCTATTTTCATGATTATTACATTCTTTCTTGATTGCCTGGGTTTTTCCTCCAACATTTTATAATGAAAAACATTAAACATACACAAAAATTAAAAGAAATTTGCAGTGAACACTCACATACTAACCATCTATATTTTACTGTTAACATTTTATTTGCTTTATAACTTAACTATCCCTTCCCTTATGTAGCCATACCTATATTCATCTTATTTTTTATGCATTTTAAAATCAGTTACAGACAACTGTACACTTTCTCCTATATACTTCCACATGCAATGCATTAATTAGAACCCAGTATTTGTTCAGGTTTTTTCTTTTGAGGTAAAATTTACATAAAAGAAAATACACAAGTCTTATGTTTACCATTCTATGACTTTTGAGAAGTACATACTGTAAAAAAGAAATACATAACCTGTGAAAACGCCTGTGAAGATACAGAATATAACTAACATCCCAAGAAGTGCCCCCTTCCCAGTTAATCCTTGGCCCCTTCTCTCACAGGGAACCACTGCTCAGATTTTTCCCATCACAGATAAGTTTTCCCTGTTCTAGAACTTTACATAAATGGAATTTCTATGTACTCTTTTCATTCAGCATAAAGTTTTTGAGATTCATGTCCAATGTAGTGTGTATCAGCAGTTTGTTCCTTTTTATTGTTGAGTAGTACTTCGTTATAGGAATATACTACATGTTTGTTTATCCATCCTATTTTAGACACATAGACTGTTTCCAATCATTAGCTATTCTAACTGCTTTGGCTATGGGGCACCTGGGTGGCTCAGTCAGTTAAACGTCCGACTCTTGGTTTTGGCTCAGGTCATGATCTCATGGGTCGTGGGGTCAAGCCCTGTGTGAGTCTCCTGGCTCAGCAAGGAGTCTGCTTGAATATTCTCTCCCTGTGGCCCTCTCCCAGCTCACGAGCTCGTACCCTCTCTCACTCAAATAAATAAATCTTTAAATGCTTTGGATATTACAACTGTACTTTACTACTTGTTAGCTTAATATAACCCCCTCCCTAATATATCATCATCTAGTTGGGAGAGATGAGAAAACTGCAACCAGAGTAACTCATTTATTTTTTTCTCCTGACCAATTTCAAAAGAACAATATACCTGGCTTCACATAAATGATCTATTATTAAAATGTTATGCAGTGTTGGTAATGTTCTGTGTTCTATGCTAGTTATATTACACTGGTATATACAGTGTGAATATCCACCAAGTAGTGACTACTGATCTGTGCATTTTCAGTAGGTATATTAGGCTTAAATAAAGTTTGTTGAAAGAGCTATGTGAACATTTTCCAAGTGGCTTATAAGAGACACTTAATACTTTAGTTTCTGCTATAACCCTTAGCCATTTGTCTGCTCTATCAGTGTTTAGCAATGTATTAAACCCTAATCCTAGGAACTTCTCTTTAAAAGCAGATGCCAAATGACACAAACAAATGGAAACATATTCCATGCTCATGGATTGTAAAAACCAATACTGTTAAAATGTCCATACTACCCAAAGCAATCTATAGATTTAATGCAATCCCTATCAAAACACTAACAGCATTTTTCACAAAACTAGAGCAAATACTCCTAAAATTTGTATGGAACCACAGATGACCCAAATAGCCAAAACAATCTGGAAAAAAGAAGAACTAAACTGGAGGTATCACCATCCCAGATTTCAAGATATACTACAAATCACTAGTAATCAAAACAGTATGGTACTGGCACAGAAATAAACACACAGATCAATAGAACAGAACAGAAAGCTCAGAGATAATCCCATGATTATGTGGTTAATTAATCTTCGACAAAGGAGGCAAGAATATGCAATAGGAAAAAATCTCTTCAACAAATGGTGTTGGGAAAACTGAACAACTACATGCAAATGAGTGAAACTGGACCACTTTCTTATACCATACACAAAAGTAAACTCAAAATGGATTAAGGACCTAAATGTGAGACCTGAAACCATAAAAATCCTAGAAGAGAGCACAGACAGTAGTGTCTCTGACACTGGCCATGACAACACCTTTCTAGATATGTCTCCTGAGGCAAGGGAAACAAAAACAAAAATAAACAATTGGGACTACATCAAAAAAAAAAAGCTTCTGCACAGCAAAAGAAACAACAAAACTAAAAGACAACCTACTAAATGGGAGAAGAGATTTGCAAACGATATACCCAATAAAGGGTCAGTATCCAAAATACATAAAGAATTTATACAACTTAACACCAAAAAACCCAAATAATCCAATTTAAAAATGGGCAGAGGACTTGAATAGACATTTTTCTAAAGAAGACATATAGATGGCCAACAGACACATGAAAAGATGTTCAACATCACTCATCATCAAGGAAATGCAAATCAAAACTACAATGAGATATCACCTCACACCTGTCAGAATGGCTGACGTCAAAAACACAAGAAACAAGAAGTATTGGTGAGGATGTGGAGAAAAAGGAACTCATGTGCACTGTTGGTGAGAATGCAAACTGGTGCAGCCACTGTGGAAAATAGTATGGAGGTGCCTCAAAAAATTAAAAATAGAACTATCCTATGATCCAGTAATTCCACTACGGGGTATTTACCCAAAGAAAATGAAAACACTAATTCAAAAAGATAGATGCACCCCTATGTTTATTGCAACATTATTAATAGCCAAATTATGGAAGCAGCCCAAATGTCCACTGTTAGATGAATGGATAAAGAAGATGTAGTATATATATATATATATGTATGTGTGTGTGTGTGTATATATATATATAGAGAGAGAGAGAGAGAGAGGGGAATATTAGTCATAAAAATAATGAAATCTTCCCATTTGTAACTACACGGATAGAACTAGACAGTATAAATCTAAGTGAAATAAGTCAGTCAGAGAAAGACAAATACCATGATTTCACTCATGTGGAATTTAAGGAACAAAACAAATACAAAGAATAAAAGAGACAAACAAAAAAAACAGACTCAAATATAGAGAACAAACTGTGAGAGGGGAGGTAGGTGAGGGATGGGTGAAACAGGTGAAGGGGATTAAGAGTACACATCATGATGAGCACTGAGTAATGTACAGAATTGGTGAATCACTATATGGTAAATCTGAAACTAATATAACACTGTATGTTAAATATTCTGGAATTAAAATTAGAAATTAAAAAACAGGGGCTCCTGGGTGGCTCAGTCAGTTAAATGTCCCAGGGTTCTGGGATCGAGCCCCACACCGGGCTCCCTGCTCAGTGACTGTGAGTCTGCCTGTCCCTCTCTCTCCCTCTGCCCCTCCCCCAGCTCGTGATGCACTATCTCTCTCAAATAAATTTTAAAAATCTTTAAAAAAATTTTAAAATAATAAATAAATAAATAAATAAATGTAACTGCCCAATCCCTTTAGTAATCCAAATAATTAACCCCTGAATTTACTGATTTGGTAAGTTGAGGTTTCTATACATTATTCTTTCCCCTTGTAAATAAAGTAGACCTGTCCTTTGCTAACTTCAGTCTTAATGCTTTCAAAATACACCCTAAACTGACCTTAGTTTAAATGAGACTTCGAGAACTGTTTTTATTATATGGACAAAAAACATCAATCCTGATTTTTTCCTATTTATTTTCCTATCCTATTTATATCAGAGCAGGTAGTATCTGTATAATTCTTTAAACCTTTTTCTGTATGGAGCAGCACACTGTATGACAGCATAAAACTAAAATAAATTTTATATGAATTTAACCTGTTATTGAAAAGTACCATCCCAAAGCTTATACTAGAACTATCAAGATTCACAGTATCTGAAACAAGTTAGTATTTTATGTCATTTCAGATTCACTATGGGAAACACTTTTATTCCAAAAGCCATAAAAGGAGATAACAGAACATATGTATTATTTTTTCTGCCTAGAGTGCCTCACTGTTTCCAACCACATGTTCTTGGGCCTGCCACTTGTAATACCCCACCTCCTAGCCAACACGGTGGGCACATAAGGAAGCCAAGCCTTGCTCTCCTCAAAATATTTAGGTTAGATCAGCAGGAAAATGGATAGTCACTATAACCATGCTCAGCTGCAGGAAGATATTAGTCTGATACATTCCTCACAGTGTGAAATAAGCGACTCTGTAGGAGAATAAAGCAGACATAATAGGAAATGCAGAGCAAAGGAGAAAGCTCTGCAGTGTTCATACTCTTTGTTCTAGTAATTCCTGAGTCCCTGCTACATCTCTGTCCTCTATATTTGTTACATAAGAGCATAAATTTCCCCTTATGCTATACCTTGTTTAAATTGGATGTCTGTGCCTTGCACCAAGAGAGGTCCCTAGTACAAAGATACACCTAATGTGAAAAGATCTACAAATGCTAAAATGGAATGCATGATCCCTACAGAGTAGAATGATAGTGGCATGACCAGGGTCGAATCATGCATATGACACTGAATGTACCATATTTCACTGAGAAAATGCCAAGATTAGAAGTTTTCTTGGATATCAAGTATAGTATCTCCATGTGCATTAACATAAACAAAGGTACAGCCTGTCATTTCCACACTTTGTTTCTCAAAATTTACCTAGTTTAAGCATGTAATCCTGAAATTATAGCAGTAAATGACCTCCAAAGGTCATCTAAATCCATGATACCAGCAATTCTTTTACAACAGAAAAAGATAACATATAAAAACTGAATTAATTTTCTTATGTAGCACAAGAGCTATTCACAGGATAAGGAATGTCTTTCAATTTAAATGACTAATCTGAATGCAGACTCATGCCAACAATAATTGAAAATGATGTGAGAAGAATTTTGACACTGCAGTAACACAATGTTTAAAGCATAAAAGAACAGTTAAATTCAGGAATTATGGCTCAGTTCATAAACTGATATTCCAAAAGACTACACTATCAGACCGTAATAGTAAACCTATTTCATAATAAATTTTATCCCTACTTGGATTTGTACCTAAACCCTTCTTAGATTGGCATTTGGTCCAGAACACTTTCTTAAACTAAATTTTACAAACATATAGAGCAAAGAAGGTTAAAGCATTTACAAATGATTAATCTTGAAATCACCTGTGCAAAAATGACATTACCACCTTACTTGTAAAGCATTAACAGTTACTAAGAGTTTATTAAAATAACAGCATTTAGCATCTTCTTCAGCTTGATTCTGCTTGCTATCCTTTTATCTAGAATGACTAGGCAAAATATGAACTACTCATAAGTTAGTTTTGTTTCACATACTTGGTATTTACATTCTAGAGGTAATCGTAATATCCATCAACTAAAGATGTACTCAGACCCTTCTTACTATTTATGGCACATTAGCCTCTTTCACAATTATTATTATCACCAAAGGAGTGGGAATCTTAAAGTTTAAAATGGTAAGAGGGGAGCCTGGGTGGCTCAGTCGGTTAAGAGGCTGCCTTCAGCTCAGGTCATGATGCCCAGGTCCTGGGATCGAGCCCCACGTCCAGCTCCCTGCTCAGTGGAGAGCCTGTTTCTCCCTCTCTCTGCTGACGCTCTGCCTACTTGTGCTTTCTCTGTGTCAAATAAATAAATAAAATCTTAAAAAAAAAAATAAAATGATAAGAAGTGAGAATAAGAAATGAAGATTTACTGGGGACTGAGCTTGACAGTATGATAAGATGATTCTGTAATTCAAACCAATAGAGAACTGACTAAAACAAAAGATTAGAGGCTATGACTACAAACAACAGTACAAAAATGTTCTTTTCATAATAAAAAGACTTTGAGAAAAATGAGATTATATTCCAATGTGCCAATCACACTACATAATAGTTATTTTTAAATTACCACTGATTAAGATTGAAATTTTCTTACTGTAGCCACCTTATACATGTCTGGGGAAAAAAAATCGAAGTAAATCTGCAAGTTTATAGAGTGGAAATATAAATTAGGTGTGGAATCAGGGAACTGGACACCATTTAGAGAAAAATCATTCATTCAACTAACATTTACTGAATATGGCCTATATGTCAGACCATGTACTTGGCAGAAAGGATTCAACAAGGGACAGATCAGGCAAAAACTCCTGGCCTCATTATGCTTACATTCTTTTTTTTTTTTTTAAAGATTTTATTTATTTATTTAATTCACAGGGAGAGAGAGAGAAAGAGAGAGACAGCGTGAGAGGGAACACAAGCAGGGGGAGTGGGAGAGGAAGAAGCAGGCTTCCGGCTGAGCAGGGAGCCCAATGTGGGGCTCGATCCAAGGACCCTGGGATCATGACCTGAGCTGAAGGCAGTCGCTTAACCAACTGAGCCACCCAGGCGCCCCATGATGCTTACATTCTAATGGCTATTAAAAACAGCCATTAGTAAGTATATCATTTAAAAAAAAAAAAAACTAAGGCCAAAAGCAATGCAGTGCCATGCCATTTCCCAAGGATATAGCTATTTAGCAGAAACTCAGGCTACAGTTCACAACACCTGGGCCTATTCCAGAGATTCTTTGATATATGATAGAGTCAATGGGAGAGGAAAAAAACTTTAATGAAAAACCCAAATAATAAAGAAAATCTATGTTAATGTCTACTTACTGGATTATAGAACTGTCAAACAAAACGGAAGGAATTTAATCGAAACACAGACTGCACCAAATTTTAGAAAATACTTATGCTAAAGGCACTCTGCATTAGACTCTAAAGATGCACTTAATGAGCTAATAGATACTTTATCTTCTCTAATATCTGAAATTCCCGGAATACTTTTATTCAGAGGCCTATTTAATACGAACTAGTGGTTACAGTTCATATCCTAGCACAAAAAACTCTCAACATAATACCACCATCTCAATTGGTACTTTTTGCCTGACTCCAAAGAAAGGCTACCGATGACATTAGCTAACAGGCTTAACTACATTATTATCTCCAGGAGGTAAAGGGAAATGGCCAAGGTGCTTCGGAGTTTGCACACAAAGGCAAGGTTAAGGTAATATGCTTCCAATATTCTGCTTGTCACAAGGAATTTTAACACTAGCTAGCCATCTATTTTGTAAGTTTCTAACCTATTAAGAAGTTTGAAATAATTAGTAGAGTAGTTTTATGTTAAAAATGAATGTCAGACTTCAAAGTTGAAAATAAATGGTAAGGGGTGCCTGGGTGGCTCAGTCGTTAAGCATCTGCCTTCGGCTCAGGTCATGATCCCAGAGTCCTGGGATCGAGCCCCGCATCAGGCTCCCTGCTAGGCGGGGAGTCTGCTTCTCCCTCTCCCACTCCCCCTGCTTGTGTTCCCTCTCTTGCTGTGTCTCTCTCTGTCAAATAAATAAAATCTTTAAAAAAAAAAAAGAAAACAAATGGTAAAAGAGAAAGTTTGATAGATTTGAAAATTCATTCCTTTCCACTATGATTATGAAAAAATTCTTTCAACTCTATGAATGCCTGCTGTCATTTTTGGGTCATAATCATAATGATTTCTTCACTTTATTAAAAACAACTGGGAAGATAAAAATTAAGAAAAGGACTAGATACTTACACCACTGGAAAGGAACTGAGCATACTTTACATGAGGTGAATCAATATCCTTCCTAGAGATGATCAGCGTTATTAACCATTCTGTAGAATAAAGACAGAAAAATTCAGAAATACTTGTTAATCAAATACTGAATAAAAATTTTATATAACTTAAAGATATTAACAGTCAACATCAGGTAACCATGTTTTTAAAATTATTTTGTACTTTTAAGATGAAATCTTCGTTTGACGCAAAATTTAAAAAATAAAAAAATATTAATAGCTTTCACAGTTATTTACTTGGAAAAAGTAATTAAAATCATACTCCTGAAATTTAATGTTATCAGACACCACCAAGGGAAACAGATATAAATGTGCGATGGAATGTATATATTACTGTGACATTTGAGAACACTGTTTGATAGTAATATCAGTGCATTTATGCAGCACCCTCTAAGCAAAAAACCCACCACAACATGACTACAGCTAAAGGTCTTAACTGTGGGGTAAATTCTGGGGTCTAGTTCCAAGTATATTAGTACTTATTTTACTGTTACCCAAATCTTGAGTGACTTAATTTCTCTAAGTCTCAATTTCTGCATCTATAAAACAGGGATGATCAATAACTACCTCAAAGAGCTACAAGAAGTTAAAACATTTTTTTAAAATGGCAATGAAAGCACTTCACAAACTATCAAGTAGCAGGGGCTATTATTAACAATTTAAAAAGGAGATTAGTATCCATGTTATTTTAGATTACTGAACACAGTGGAAGTTAATAATAGAGTGAGTCTAGTACTTCTATCTTCTGATTAGCATTCTACTGCTTTATTCACCATTCAGACCCTGTGACCCCTTTCAATTCAGACATAGATTTTAACAAAAAATGAAATCTACTATTCACGACTTAGGAGCTAAAGATCATGTATTACTGACTGAACTTATTAGCAGTTTTAAACCACAATCTATAGAAGCAACAATTTCCATTAACTCAAAGTTAAGATTATAAATTATACGAAAGTTAAAAATGTTGATGTCAAAACTCTCACATTAAAATACACACTCAGCACTGAATTATATTAAGCAAGGCTGAAGTGTCTAACAGTGACTAATGATATATGCGAAATGTACAGGGTAAAGTTAGAAACCTTTCACATTTGCATATCCTAAGTTGTAGCTTTAATGAAGTTCCTGTTGTAGTAAATTTTCTTGCTGACTTAAGAAATACCTGTCCTAAAAAAAAGTAGATATAAAGTACAAAGAAAATCTACTAAAAGTGTTGCTGATTGCAAAAATATCCAAACTAAGCCAAAAAACTGATTACTGGTCAATATACATTTTTCATTCTTGCTCAAATTCAGTTAAAATATATTAAAGATCTACTTGTCCTGACAGAGGCACAAAGTCATAATAAGAGTAAGGTATGGTCCCAGTAGTGTAGGAGCATATTAAACTGTAGAAGAAGGTCAAATAAAAATTACACACACACACACACCTCTATAATAAAATGCATAATGTGATAAGACTAAAAATACAAGGTTTATGAGAGTAACAATTTAGAGATTAATTTAGGCTACAGAGAACTGGGAAGACTTCCTAGAGTGAGATCTCAGCTGTTATCTGAAGATCAGAATAAGACTTCCACCAAACCTAGGTGTGAAGGCAGGTGAGAATCAGTGGAAGAAGATTCCAGGGAGAAGGAACAGTTAAAGGAGATGATGAGCTAGGTTTAAGGATTAAGTAGACCTATGTGGCTGGCCTTTTACATATATGCATGAGAAATACATAGGCTAGAAAGGGAAGACTTCCACAGTCTGTGGAAGGCTGGTAAATGTCTCACAGCAATCCTGACCTTTATTCTGCAAATATGAGGACTATGGTACAACTAAATCAGACAATCTAGGAAGTAAATTACCAAAGACCCTCATTTCACAGGTGAGGAAACTGAGATTAAGTCACTGGTACAGACTTGGGTGTACTGCAAATCACTGAGTTTATGTTATTTATATTATGGGTATAAATGGGCTTAAAATATTCAATAGAACTAAAATATTCTAAGGACAGAAGAGTAAGCAAGTAAAGTGGTGCTATGAGTTCTCTATTCTCAGACTCAATGTCACAAAGCCCTCCCTGCATAGGGGACAGATTTTTAAAAAATTGTTTTAAAAACGAGTTTAATAAATATTAAAATTTATTTAAATGAGTTTAAATAAATATTACAATCACAGCCATTAGAAAGGCCATTATCAGGGGTGCCTGAGTGGCTCAGTCAGTTAAGTGTCTCTTGGTTTCAGGTCAGGTCATGATCACATGATCATGAGATCATGAGATCTTGAGAGAGAATGAGCCCTGCATCAGACTCTTTCTTCCTCTTCCTCTGTCCCCCCAACCCCGCACGTACGTGTTCTCTCTCAAATAAATAAACCTTAAAAAAAGGGGGGGTCATTATCGAAAAAACAGAAAATAACAAGTATTGGCAAAGATGTGGAGAAAATGAAACCTTCCTGGTGTTGCTGGTGAGAATGTAAAATAGTGCAGCCATTATGGAAAACAGTATGGAGGTTTCTCAAAAATTAAAAATAGAACTACCTTATGATCCAGTAATTCTACTACTGGGTATTTATCAAAGAAAATAAAAACACTAAATCAAAAATATATATGCACCCCTATGTTTATTGCAGCATTATTTATAATAGCCAAAATATGAAAGCAACTTAAGTGTCCACTGATAGATGAATGGATAAAGATGTGCCATATATACATATATAAACGCAATATTACTCAGCCATAAAAAAAAATGGAATCTGAGATATCAAGATGGACCCAGAGGGTCAGATATAAGTCAGATTGAGAAAGACAAATACCATATAATTTCACTCATATATGGAATCTAAAAAATAAGACAAATGAAACAAGGAAACAAAAAGCAGAATCAGACCTATAAATAGAGAAAAATACACTGATGGTTACCAGAGGGAAGGGAGGTGGGGGGAGATGAGCAAAATGGGTAAAGGAAAAAGTGGAAGATACAGGCTTCCATGTTATGTCATGGGAATAAAAGGTACAGCATGTGGGATACAGTCAGTGATATCGCAAAAACATTGTGTGGTGACAGATGGTAGATACACTTGTGGTGAGCACAGCATAACATTTAGAGTTGTTGAATCACTATGTTGGACTCCTGAAACTAATGTAATATTGTGTGTCAACTATACTCAAAAAAAAACTTCAAAAAAGAAAAAAAATCTGAACTTAAAAAAAAGAAAAAGAGGTTTTTAGGGATAAAAGTTCATGGATGCTGGATCACATCAAGCACCCAGCTCTAAAAAGCAAGTAACCTATAAAAGTTAATCAGCTCCTCATTGGACCCTTCAGCTTTTGTACTTTAAAAAGAGAGGG